GGACTCAGTTCGTGCGATAACTCGTCAACTCTGCTTCCAGCGTTCGAGAAGTTCTTAATTACCTAACTAGTATCACCCTTATCGGGCAGYTCGGCAGTGACCAAAACTGATCAGCGAGTTCATCGGAAAGGTACTTCAAAAACGAGATAACAGATGCTACTCAGATATATCTCACGCAACGAGACACCAATCAATCCAAAACCATTAACTCATGCCCTTGACAATGCTTCCAATTAATCGAGAAAGAAAATAAAAATGATGGACCCGAGTGATTCCCCCTTGTTTGTAYTCAATGCAACTCTACAGGATTCCAAACCAATCAGATGAATTCTAGCGAAGATTTTCTGGCCGAAATGCGAGCTTCTTTTTCCGTGGGTTCTTCTGCTGAGCGGGTCTTAAAACGGTGCGCTAATGTCCTTAATTTACGATGCTTTATAAGTGAGTAAAATGCCAGTCACCCCGAAATCTCTCTTACATATTCAGAATTCCCGTACCAAGTAGGTAAATAGCTGATAACTACATCGAGGTTTCTGATAACGGAAATACCACTAATATGAGGAAATTGTATCCACACCTCCCCTTGGTCTCGTCASTGATGTCTTCAGTTTTCTCGCGCTTGCAAATCTTAGAACACAAACACTCAAGATTACAAATGACAATAGACAATCGAAAAAGGGGAAGTCTAGCCGTACTGTAATCATGCTCGCATCTTTGAGACAATGTACATAACCGATGTACAGTTACAAATTCGCCCGGTAAAGTAAATATACAAAGTGGTGGTCGTAATTCATCCTTTACTCAAATCTTTCTGGATGATATTATGACTTGGGGTCAACAATTGATTTTTCTAATCTTATTGAGATTTTGGGATTTAAAAAAAAAAAAAGATACTCGACTAAAGAAGAATAAAATAATAGAGTTCTTAGGTCTTTAAATGCATTGGATTAGCCCGACTAAAGAATTGAATGAGCATTACTGAAATATTCACTAATTTAATTTGTGATTCCAGAATTAGAACTTGAGGCATTTTTGTCCATTATCTAGTTATATTATAGCTAGAAATAGCTAGAAAGCTAGCTAAAATACGAAGCAAAGTTGAAATCCTATTAGAGAAATTTTTCATCTGTGCGATAGTCATGCAAGTTGCTCAGGTGTCATTGAGCAGATGAGAATTTGACTTAAAAGACCAAAGGGGTTGTTAATCGTGCTAGCAGATCTCTAAAGTTGTGATTAAGTTCATCGTTATCTCTCTAACAGTAGAATGGGGTTGAATGAGGCCATTGCCCCAAGCAATGTCAAATAACATTATCATGATCTGCAGTTGCAGTCGTCTTTCGGCTTTCCTCACAACAGATGAAAACTCTCGAAAAGAACTCAAGGAGGTCAATAAGAAGCATAAGGGGGACAGACAGACAGATATATGGGGTACATGTTTCTCTCGAAGTCAAAGGGGGATGGTAAACTAAGTTCTATCATTTCCAGATCACTGAATTATATCTGTATTTTGACTGAAGTTGATTGCCTTTGAAATGAGAGGACCGGAGAACATATAGATGTTATCTGGATGAGTTACGTCAGGTCGGCGCCAAGATGGAGATAGAAAAACCATATATATTGTATTCTAACAGAGGAAACGTCGACCCAAACTTAACAGAGCTTTCATATGGTTTCGATAACCCGGAGGTCTGCTAAGATGTTTGTATTTAGTGAATAGATTCTGGTGTCAATATTGCAAATGGGCTTTGGGGATTAGCATCAAACATTCGTTCGGAATATGCGCTTTGTGAATTAGATGATTCCATGACTAACTTCCCAGATTGTCTACAGTACATACAGCCGTTACAGCAATYATTGGTATTGACGGCGATACTGTACATCATGGATGCTAGCAACACACCTGGTACACACATGAAACATGCGGGTACTGCTAATGGAAATAAGAAAACTAAACGCGTGCGCTGAAGTTTTTGGATAGTGAGAGGAATTAGATCCAAGATGGTGAATTCTCGAAGTGGAACTTTTTCAATTTGGTGCTCAGGGCCGCCGGTTTTGTGGCGCGTACATGATTGGATCAAGGTTGGTGAAGAACGCTAAGACTGCGTGATCGCTATTCTTGGATGATGATCGAGAATAATGGTCCTATATGTCGACGTACGGGTATGATCAATAGCACCAGAAAGTGGTGTTATGTGAAACGTACCGGAATATGATTTTGGAATTGATGTTCTTATAATGGTGAACATAGTCGATGATCCGTTAGCTCACCGCTTCCGTCGCCAGCCAGGCACCAGTAAACCGCATTGTGGGTTTTTACAGTTTTACAGTTATAAGGTCTTATGAGTACAGAAAAGAGTTCTTTGCCAGCAGCCATGCAATACTTGTCATATAGTAATGTTTGGGGTTTATTCTCGTTGGATGATTATAAGGGAAGGCAACTCGTTTTATTATCTTCTTGAGTTCAGTTGAAGCGTTAGACTTTTTAAGGATTCTATCGTATGAATAGAG